GAGAGAGAGAGAGAGAGAGAGGAGAGAGAGGAGAGAGGGGTGGGTAAGGAGGAGGGGATGAGGAGAGGAGGAGGGACGAGAGTGGGAAGAGAAGAAAGAGGCAAGGAGGAAATGGGTACTGATGGAGGGAGGGATAGAGGGGAGCGAGAAGGAATGAGGGAGGGTAGGAAGGAAGGAAGGAAGGAGAGAAAAGAATGAACGGGGGAGAGATAGTGAAAGAGGAGAGAGAATTAGAGACAGTGTTGAATGATGATAGAGAGAGAGAGAGAGAGAGATAGAGAGAGAGAGAGAGATTACAGTAAGAGTTTTTGAGTAATTTTCCCACTTCCCTTCCCTCCCCCCTCCCACCCCCCTTACCTCTCACACCTCTCACCCCTCCCAGACCTCTCACTCTTCCCTCACCTCTCACCCTCACTTCCTTCCATAATATCTAATACATGCATGGATCATTACCCAACTCTTCTCTCTCTCTCTCCTCTATCGCCCATTATTACCTCCCCCATTAATCTTGTTTACCTCCATCCCTCACCTTGTCCCTCACCTCTCACCTTGTCCCTCACCTCTCACCCTATCCCTCTCACTTCTCTACCCCACCTCTCACCCTCTTATCTTCATCCCTCTCACCTCTCACCCTGTCCCTCTCACTTCTTACCCTCTACCCCACCTCTTCTTCTCACCCTTCTACCTATCATCCCTCTCACCTCTCACCCTCTCCCTCACGTCTCACCCTCTCCCTCACCTCTCACCTCTGTCCTCCTTCCTCTTAGCCCCTTGTTCTCTCCTCTTCCTTCATCCTTCTCTCCTCTCCCTGTCTACACTCACCATCAACATGCAAAGGCCAATCACGTGAAATAATGGGTGTAGGACGGGCGGTGGGCGGGGATGGTAGGTGTGGGCGGGGATGGTAGGTGTGGGCGGGGATGGTAGGTGTGGGCGGGGATGGTAGGTGTGGGCGGGGATGGTAGGTGGGTGGGGATGGTAGGTGTGGTGGGGATGGTAGGTGTGGGCGGGGATGGTAGGTGTGGGCGGGGATGGTAGGTGTGGGTGGGGATGGTAGGTGTGGGCGGGTGTAGTTAGTGTGGGTGTAGTAATAGTTATACACCCACTTTTCTTTACCCTGAAGGTCGATTGTATTAAGAAGAATATCTACTCAAACATTCTCCATCCCACCCACCCATTTCCCACCCTCTGCCACCTCCTGTCTCTCCACCCACCTCAAACACTCCCACCTACTATACCCATCTCAATCATAATGGGTGTGTGGGGATGAATGGGTGTAGGTGTGGGAGTGAGTGTGTGTGGGTGAGTTGGGGTGTGTGGGTGAGTGGGTGTGGAGGATGAGTGGGTGTGGAGGATGAGTGGGTGGGAGGATAACAGAGAGTAGTAACAGTTACACCCACATCTCACACCTCCATCCTATTCACACCACCCACTCCCACCTACTCCCTAAATTCCACCCATTCTCTGACACCCCATCTGGTCTACCCGCTCCTCTCGCTATTCCAACCTATTCCACTGACCCTCTTCCACCCACGCCTTCCACCCACGGCATCCACCCACGCCTTCCAACCAACTTCACCTATTTTCTCGACCCCACCCATTTAATCGCCCACCCTTTCCACCCACCCCACCCATTCCACCCACCCCACCCATTTCATATCCGCCCCACCCACCGCATCACCCCTCTGTTCCCACATTTCCATAATTATAATGATCTTGGGTGATATCAGCGTTAAACTGCCGCCCCACCCCCGCTGCCTGCCCCGCGGGGGAGGAGCGTGGGCAGGGGAGAAATGGGGAGGGGAGAGAAGCGAGGGTGAGTAAGGGAGGAAAGAGAGAGAGAAAGAGAGATAGAGAAGAAGGAAACAGAGAGAGGAAGAGGGTGATAAAGGGAGGGAGAGAGAGAGAGAGAGAGGATCAAGAATAAGGAGGGTGAGATATGAAGCCAATACAAAAGGAAAAGAGAGAGGAGAAAATAACAGAAAAGTGGTATAGGAAAACACTAACGATGGAAGGGAAGCAATGAAAATAATAATAAAGGAGAGAAATAGGGAAAAAGAAACACAAAAGAGGAACGGAAGACTAAAAGAAACAGGGAGATAGGAGGGGAGGGCAGGAGAGGGAAAGGGGGAATAACAACGAATGCAAAACAGGGAGGGAAAGAGGAGAGAAGGGGGATGGGATGGGAGGGGAGTGTGTACGTGTATAGGGAGGGAGTGTTAAGATCTCCTATGGGATGTGGGAGAGAGAAAATAACGGGAGAGGGAGAGGGTGTGGTGCAAGCCAGAGGAGGTGATGGGAGGGAGAGGGGGGTGAGAGGGGTGTGATGGAAAGGAGAGGAAGCGACGAGAAAGAAGGAAGAGTGTGATAAAAGAAATGGGGAATGATGGAAGGGAGAGGAGGTAATGGAAAGAAGAGAGTGTGATGGAAAAGAAGAGAGTTGTGAGAAAGAAGAAGGGAATAATGGAAGATAGAGAGAGAGAGAGAGAGTGATGGAAGT